TCCTTTAGCCTGCTGCAGTTCGAATCACTTGCATGTCCGCCATGGCTCTGCACATGAAGCGTGCTTCTCCTCCTCACTACTGCAAAAGCCATGCTCATGACCACGCCCATGCTCGCGGTTAGGCATGCCAATATGTCATGCCATGCAGTTGACGCAGCAGCACCAGCAGCAGCACCAGCATCAGCCATCAATGCCTGGCTTGCGGAAGCCCCGGGAGTCGCTCATCGCACTCACTCTGGTCCACTGGTTATCTCTCCAGGCTTCAAATCCAGTCAGTGATTGGTTAGCTCGTCTCTGGTCTATCTCAGAAAGGAAGGAATCTTCTTCAATTTTCAGGTCGCTATCAGTTCCATTCCATCCGGGCTGGGCCTGATGGGCATCCCGGGTTGCTGCTGGGCGTCTTGGGCCATGACATGGCATGGCGTTTCGCAATGTGAGATGCGAGATTGCTACCCCTCCATCCACTGTCATCCTGTCAGTAAATCAAGCTGTGTGATTGATCAGAATCAGAAACAGAGGCTCTCTCGTGAGAAAGGAGGACAGGGAGGGGTAGCTACCACGACCTCTAGCGAGAGGGGTTCGTTCAGCTCCATGTGAGACATGACTGATAGTGATACCAACTGCAAGTCATAACGCTTTTGGTGAGCCGAGCTCGGCGAGCCGTACAAGGTTCTAGACTGTTGGTGATGCTGGTGGCTGTGAGTCAAGACCTTGCCGAAGTGTAAAAAAGAGAAGTTGATATCAAGCACAAATTTCATGATGCCAAGCCGGCGATTGACGTGCAGTGATTGACGTGCAGTGGGATGCCATGGCTTGCGATAGCGCCTACCAAGCCTACACCAAGCCCTGTCTAGCGGCCGTCACTGCCCTGTAACTCATCAATTTCAGGAGCATGGCACACACCCAAGACGCTGGAAGCGACGGAAGCGATGTTCGTAATAGCGGGTCAACAGTGGCGTGATAGTGTCGCCTTACAAGCCTGGGCTTGAGCCTTCCGTGAAGAGCTACCTCTATGTGGATGTACTGCTACAGTATTATCAGCGGCATCGTAGACGGAAGGGGGAGGCCAAGAATACGGAAGTGCAATCTCTTTTGTACATGCCTCTGCTGCAGATGGTGAAATGGGACGTATACTTCCTGAACGGATCTCGAAACGGTCATTGTTCGGTTCACTCCACCACCAACACCTCGAACGTTTGGGAGTAGGAATCCCAACATGCCATGTCCTTGTAGGTGGTTCTGGTAGTCAATAAACGGCCAGTTGACGTGTCTCATATAATCCACCAAGAATGGCCCTCTGTTATCGACGATTGGCCATTCGGGGGGTTTTTCTTACAAAGTGGGTTGGCGCCCAAGGAGACACCAAAAATGCCAGAGCCTCTCAAAAGAGACAAAGCGCCCGAACGGCAGGTTCCATTGATTCACCGGGCTCCAGACGGAGACTCTAGCTTCGGGCCGTGCGGGGTCCCTCTGGGTCTTCCAGACCGACCCCTTGGACCTTACCCGGCCCGAGTTACGTCCTAAGTGGACCTGAAAGTCAACCCAAAATAGCCTCTTGTCGCTAGGTGATCCGTTCTCCGTTGTTGGTAACAAAACGGTTCCATCTCCGGTCGTGGTAATGGTGGTGGTGGTGGTGGTGGTGGTCTCAAAATCCAGACAGCGTGCGGCGTTCGGCGTCCGGGCTTGCCTCCGTTGACCGGCGCAACGCCGGACTTTCGTGTAGAACTATTGGAAAAGGGCAAAAAGAAGGCAACCATCCATTCATTTGGACATCTCAATGGTGACTGGACGGTCGAGTCACTTTTGTTGACCAAGTCGCCACCGATGTCGCCAACGACCCTTACCTCTTGCCCAAAAGACTGACGTGCAGCACTCGTTAATAAAAATCTTCACTCGCAATCTTGCGACAAGCGCTGACGGAAATAGGGGGTCGCTGTACTGCCCTTGTATGTGACCCCCAACCAGCGAGTGGGTGGCATCCTCCATTGCGATTCGCTCAGGGTTGATGGGTTGTTGACGGGCGAGTTTGACATGTCGCGGGCAATTGGTAGCGTCCGTCTTTTGGTGGTGGTGGTGGTGGTGGTGTTTATAGTGGGGCGCGCAATGTTGCAATGTTGCAACGCCGCGTACGGGTCCGACACCCATATTGCAAGCATTGCAAAAGCGACTGGACCGGACTTGTAAATTGGAGATATCACCGATGAACGGACAGTCAGCGTGTGACGACAACAAAAGAAGGAAAACGGCGGCGACAATGACACTCAGCACACTGTAAAAGAAGGATCAAGGCGTCGGATACCGTATCCTGAAAGCTGAAAACGACCCCTGACCTAGCGATAGCGGCAAGCGGTGTACCGTCGACGCCGCCGCCGCCTCCGTCGGAAAGAAAGATAACGGTCTTGAGCGTGAGATAAGGTAGACTCCCCATCACCTTTGGAACCCTCGACCGACCCAGTGCCCCCTGAGAATAAGCGGGTCGAGATGCAGAGAGGCGCGCGGTGGGCGTTTTCGTCAACAAACTCGAATCACATCATTGTCGACCCAGATGGTCAGAGTCGGGATTCTTGAAACTGACGGTCGACCCATCGACAGGACTGTAGATCGCAAGCAGCCGCTGCAGGATAACCTGGAAGAAGACGGGGGCCAGATGGGTCAGGTAAACACCAGTTAGCAGCAACTCACCCTCCACTCAACCAACGAAGGGGGACCATATCCATCCGTATCTTCCCCAGATTTCTGCTTGCTGACCCTTCGCACAGCGACAGGAGGTGGGCTGGCGGCAAGAGAAACCTGTTTCCATCCTTGACCGTGATCCTTTTCCGGGCGACCTGATGCACAGAGGGTCCCGCATCATCCATCCATGTCGAGTGCTCCCTGTGCCATCCATCTCTTGTGTTTCCCGTGGAGATGAGGTTGGGTGACTTTGGCTATCCCCTCCGCATCCCCACAAACTTGGAACACCCGTCGTTGACCGATCGTCCCGCCCGATGTAAGACTGGCGTCGTGTGTTGTGGTGTTGTGTTGTGTTGAGCGACTCGTTCACGGCGCAGACACAGATGCCGAGTGTCGACTTTGTCCACTGCTCCAGACTCCAGCTTCGCCAAGTTTGAAGGGGTGTATCGTCTGTCGAGACCTCATATCAGCCAGCGGCCGTGTAACGTCGTGCAGCAGGAGCGAGGGGAGCAGCAGTGGCAGCAAAGAGTCGCAGTAAAAGCCACTTTGCGGGGCATTCGCGTCGCTTCGGTCGCGGAGACTGTTACCTATCTGTCAAATAGTGACGGATAACGCTCCCTTTCTTGTCTCGGGCATCTCGTTTCGAGGATATTGGCTGGCTGTTGGCTGTGGACTGTCACTTAAAGGTGGTGGTGGTTCCCAGCCCTTTCCAGCCCAGCGTCGCCGAATGTTGACACCCCCTCTTTCTCTGTCACTGTGGTCCTAGACATGCTTCGCGACACTCAAGATGCTGGTGCTAGAGGTAACGGCTCGGTCTCTGTCTAGGCCTTGAAAAGGAGGGTGTCGGTCGGGTCGGGTGTCGGGTGTCGCGTCGCAATCGGTCGGTCGGTCGGGGTGCGGCGTTCACTTTGTTGCGTGTGGTGGAGATTGTGGGGACGTGGGAATCTGGAGGGAGATCTTCCGAGAAGCTCACATTTGTGCGTGAGGAGATTTCGTCCTGCGGCGACCGGTGAGAGGGTTCATCCCGATGCGCGTCGGTTGCCGACCGGTTCGTGCTTTCCGCGTCTGGGCGCCTTTTGACACCACCACCATCGTGACTGCCTTTTTACTGACCGACCGCAACACGATCCGAAGGACGATCAATGCCACATCTGCGTCCGTCGCGGGGAAGGAACGATCACTACTACAATGTCAGTGAGTGTTGACGAAAGCGTATCGCTGCAGCTGCGACGCGTATGATGACACCACCACTACCACTGGAATCTCTTAATTCATGCACCACGACCTTTTGAGCAGTTGCTGTCCAGTCCAGCCGCTTGCTTCTCGCCTTCCCCATACCCCAGAGTTTTCCCCAGAGAGTTCATGCTCGCCTCATCATCATCAACAACATGCAAATTTTCCGCCCCTTAACCTTCAGGCTCGGACTGGCTGGACTGGAGTGTAATTTCTGGAAACCTGAAATGTTGATGGTTCGTTCTTGAGGCCACTCATATCACGGTTGGATGTTCTTTCGCCCGCCATGTCCATTATCCAGTCGTGCCAGTGTCGTAGCCGCCACCTCATCAGCGATACGCCCCTTCGAAAGCCCTCTGACGTCCCACGAGAATGTCGTGATCCAATAACCCATAATAGCTCATCTGCCATGATCCGTTCTGTGATGCATGTGGTTCATAGCCGGGAGACACTGTCTAGAGTGTTTTTCTGAGGCCAGAATTTTCTCGAAACACGCGAGATTGAAGCAAGACTGAAGTGTCATGACGCCGTGGAACCGACTTGCTGAAGGCAAGTAATGGAGGCCGACGTAACGGGCAGAGAATAGAGAGGCTCGAGGAGGCGACTCCGGCTGGAACGTAGCAAGTCATGTTGCGCACTTTTGTCCAGCAACTCTGCGAAGACGTCGGAGATGATAAGTTCAGCGGTGTCGACGGCGACAAATGCCCCTTGGAAGAAGGCGTATATACGAAGCCAGTTCCTTCCTCTTTGGGAGACTACGGCCAAGTAAAAGTCGCCGCTTGAAGATCGTTGGTGAAGATGAGATGTCGTACCACCGGCACCACCAAACGGAATCAAACATGTATACAGTGTGTCATTCCCAGCAACTTCATCAAGTTCCTCTACTTCACCACACAGTATGCTGGCAACAGGACCGTTCTGCCTCTTCCGTTAAAGGCTACATGATGGTATCTAACGGTAGTCAGCAGGTGGTTCTTAAGCACTCTGTCGTTCTCTCATGGGCTTCTAGCGATGGGCGCGTATGCATTGAGTAGGCATACCCAGTCAAACCCAAGGCTCCAATCTGGTGAAGAGGGGAAGGAGAAACACGCATCATGTCTGCTGCTCTCGCTCCGTTCACTCGTTTCCCTATTGAGGCTCCAATTGAAGCTGGCGACCGCATGGACGAGCAAGTGATGAGTGAGTTTCCAGCCTCTGAAGTGATGTGATGCCGTCACCTTCACCACGGTAATTCACCGCCTTTTGCTTTCCTACCTGCTTCACACCTTCGTATCTGGCAGGTGTCGTAAAGGCTGGCTTGACTGGAGGTAGGGGTAGCTTCCTCCCTGTATTCACAGGGGCTTTTTGGGAGCTACGAGCTGGAAGCCGCCCAGTCGGCCCAGCTTGTTTCCTGGCTTGGATGGCCTGTGGCGTCTCATTGGATGCTGGGATGGGAAGTTTGTTAGACAAAGACAGTCGAGAAAGCGGCTGGTAGCGAAGAGAGACCAGGACCAGGACAAGCCAGCCAGCCAGCCAGTCAACCAGGACCCGAAACCGTGCCATTCCCAAATGCGACTTTGGCCAACAATTGCTCACCCTGCGGTAACACAGTCTGCGGCAGTGCTAACCTCCCTGACCTTGACCGGTGTTGTCCAACAGACGCTGTGCCGTCTTCGAAAACGGCGGCGTGGAAGAGAGCGTGGGAGGACAAGCGTGGGGTGACAAGACCTCCGCAACATCCAAATGTCTTAAACCCTGGGAAGGATTGGAGCGTGACCATGGAACTTTGACGATATTTCCAACATTGGCATATCGTTCAATGTTGGAACGGGCATGGTATTGTTGGACAGTCCGTCCTCTCCGACAGCAAACGCCCTGTCGATCGCTTCTCCAAGTTGGAGAAATCCCACGCCGTACCATTCAACGACAAAAGGAATTGGAGAAGCTCATTGCCGTAGGTAGCGGTTGCCGTCTTCCGTCTTCCGACGAGATGCTTCGTCGTACTGCCAGCTGCCTTCTTCTTTCTGCTATGTCGGTGAAGATCACCTGGTCTCGAACGTCTGCGAGCCTGCGCGTGGACGCCGTGGACGGCAACGTAGGCTCGCCGCACGAGTGCACTGCACCATGCCACCACTATCACCACCACTTCTCCAGCTTTTGATATGCACATTCGATCGAGATTCGCCATCACAAACAGCGGGGTGATCCCACGCTTTTTTCCTTACCGATGCGGGGAGGAATTGTCCATCGGATGGGGATTTTGTACGATTATCGTCAATCGGATATCTCGTCGACATGGAGGTTGTTCTGTTGGTAGGTAGGTCGGTATCAGTCAATGTTCTTAATAGAATGATAAGTGATAAGTGATAAGCGCTGACCTCGAGATAAGGTTTGGCAGTCTGGTTGATCAAAAGCGGGAGATCAACTGGTGAGACCTCCAAGACCGCAGTAGTGTCGGCAGCTGCCAATTTTGTCGACCCGACAGCTTGGCGGCTGGCGGCTGAGAGAGGTGATCTTGACCGTCAGACCGTTCACCGTCGCATTCTGAAGACGGTGAGAGATGAGTGGTGACGGCAAGACAGTGCTCACAAGCTGCACGTATCTCTTTAGCTGTGCAAATTTATCATTTTAGCGCCCCCCACAGTCTACCAGCAGTACTTGATAGCTTGGCTTGCCAGCTAAGAAACACTACCACCGCACTAGCAGATACTACCAGGGCTGGGGTATTTGAGGTATCTTCGCGCTTCAGATGTATCCTGCAGGCAAAACTGACCACCTAATTGGCTCAAACCTGCATGACGCTTAAATGATAAATTTGCACAGCTAAAGAGATCATCACTCTCAAATGGTCGCGACAGCCTTCCCTCGTCGTCGTGGACACACTGTCCATTCTCACCTAGATAACCTTGACAGTGGATTCATTAAAGTCCACGATCAGGGGCTTATGCCGCGCCGGTCTTCCCAGTCTTTGACGTGACGACGGTCGACGTCCGCCCTGCGACTTTGGCGAACCTCTTTGGCAGCTTTTTCCTGCAGTCAGCTTGGCAAGGGGCCAGGCCGCTTGGCTCGCTCTTGGCAACAGCGGACAGAGTGGGGTCACAGCTCTTAGCGCTCTTTCTTTCTCCACATTCTCCGAGCCCCGCCTGCCTTTGCCTGCCGTTGGGACTCAACCAATGGATAACATGCGAAGCCATCCATGCTTATCTCCGCCGCCTTGCGCTAGCCTTCTTTCGTCTCCCTGGTCTCTCTTTCGTTCCTTCCTAATCCCGGTCAGTGCTAGCGGCTGACCCCACCACGGCCCATCAACAAGGGTCAAAGCCAAACCATCCCAGACATGCCACGATTGCTCACCAAAAACGCCGATTGCAACGGTCTGCTTTGAAACGCAGCCCTACGTCATTGCCTCCAAATGCCATCTCTTGGAGGGAAAAAAAAGTTGGAGATTGCGAGCGGGGGTTCCATTTGACAACAACCCCTGGATGAAAAGAACGGCTTGGAGGACATGTCCAGTGCTCTACAACGAACAGACAACTTGTCTTGAACCGAAGGAAGGAACTCCTCATCTCCAAGGCCGCGAAAGGGACTCCATCATGAGATCGACTCCATCAAGTCCTATTTTGGCTCAACTCGTGATCACGACATGTTCCTAAATCCAGGAACGCGAAGCCAGGAACGAGCCAGTACCGACGCCAGAAAGAAGACATGGAATTGGTCTTTCAGGTACACCCAATCAAGCGATCAAAGATTGGCGTCTTGTGTGGATATGCGCAGCGGTGGATATGCCTTCGTTCTCAGCTTTGTCGAACACGGCCTCCAATTTAGTGGAATGCGGTGGTGAGATGGGTGGTCAACTCACTCCGTCTCCTTTTGCCGCCCGCATTCTCAACCCCGGAATGTCTTCTCAACCCCGGAATGTTGAACCACTCAGAAATCTTTCCACGAAAAATTCTTCATCACATCATCGTCAAACGAAATTGCATTGCATTTTGCGGGGAAACTCTTTCGTTTTGTTTGCAAAGTACCCTTGACGCCGGCCGGGGTTGGTTTGCGGGATCGCGGGGTCGGACTTGCTCACGGCGTTTTTATGGGTCCGGGGGTCGCCCGTCTTCCCGTACCCCGTACTCGTCCGTCCGTACCCCATTTCCCCGCCCCGTACATATGGCCAGGCCGCCGGGTCTTGAAATTCTACCCCGTTTGACCCCGCGCTTCCCCGGCGTGCCCCCGGAGTTTGTTGGTGATATTGGCCTTGTTGGCGCCGGCCTCATTACCTAATCGGCGTGAATATGGAGACGGACCGTTGGCTTGTTAGTGACCCAAAATTGCTAGACGTGCATTTCCAAAAGATACCGCCTACCGCATACGTATATCTGCTCCGGTTCCCCACAACGCCGGGGAGAACGCGGGGCCACACGGGGTCTTCCCCGGAGTCTTGATACGGGGTACGGGGTAAGACCGGCCAGGCGGGGGGACGACGCGGCGGGGTAAGTTACGATTCCGGTAAGCGGTCATGTTCGTTACACTCCCATCACTCCATCGTGCGCAATATTGACGCCGGTACCATCTGGGCGCGTCCCTCACAGTAGAACGCGCCGGTCACAGTAAATCACAGTAAGCAGAGGTACCAACGGCGCAATGACTAACCGTGAGCGACGGTTGCCGCCTCAAAACGGAGGACAGTCTCTTCAACAAAGTCTGCTCCTTGTCGTTCTGTTTTGATCTAGCTTTGCTTCCACTATTTCATGCAGTAGTTCGCAGCTCTTACCAGTCCCTACCCGTCTAGCAGCCCAGTCCACTCGTAGAGGGATGGCCCGGAGCATCGTAAGTAACCGGTACTTTATGATATCTCCGGCCGGCGGCTACACATCCCTCGGTCTCACCGGTGTGGGACGGGTGTGGCTCGAGCCTTGGACGTGGGATGACAATGGAACGCGGGATTATGGACAGGTCCGTCCTCCAGCTCATGGTGTGTGGGATGTTCCGTCGTCCTCGAGTGGGATGGATAAGCCTGGACTCCTGGAGATCATAAATCGCGCGCGTAGCATCCAGGCATCCTGTCGGATATTAGGTATTCCTTCGTCGGATCGAGAAAGGGTGGGGAAAATAACGGTTGATGGTTCATGCAATATCCTCTCGGTACTATCGATTTCGAACTCACCGGATGGATGGCTTGAAGTCTGTCTGCTTGATCGAGATGCCATCATTGCGGTTTGCCCGTCAAAAGCAGAACGTCCAAACCTCTAGACCTACGGCCTATCTGACCATCGAGGTTCCCTTTTCCCTACGAAGCCTTTTCATCGTGAACTCGAACTCTGGAGGTGAACTGGTCCATCAACTGCTCCCCTCTCACTGTCTCACAAGAAGGCTGGCTCGCAAGGCATCCATATCCCATTCCCCGGAACCAACATCCCTGCTTCCAACTCATTGGCCAGACGTCAAAGCGTGCCGTCGCCGCACTAACACGAATTCGACCCTCCTCCCGACCCAGCAAATGAACGAAACAAAATAGCAACACCACGGCTGCAAAAAAAGTTGGCCACCCCCCTTGCTCATCATTACGGCCAGCCAAAATCTTTGCAGAGCGCTCCTAGAACTTGCATGAAAACGGACCAGGAGGAGCAGACTATTGGCTATACGAAACTTTGTCGACCTTGTCGGCGTGGTGTCTCCGTCCGTTGTTGAAGTCGCTGGCAAGATCCGTCACTGTGTTGGAAGTCGGTTACGAGGGGTGCAAGTCCGCTTTCCTTGACACAGGATTCTGGGCTTGGCATCACTTTGCTTACCATGATTGCAAGTGGAATAACCGCCTCCTCTCAGACAGGCCAGGATTGTTAGCGCAGTCCTCATGCGGCTGCACATTTGAAGACTGCGAGTGGGGCCTTTTGCAACCTCCTCGATGGCATGCAACTTCCAATCCCAAGCCTTGTCGTCGACAACTCTGTCGACTGGTTGGCTCACGATCATTTTACTCGACCCTCCATCAAGAGACCGCTAGGACTCCGCGGGTCTGCTGGAAAGGGGGCATAGCAGAAGATGGTGGGTGACAAAAGTCATTATCCAATAGGATAAAAGTGAGGACGAGATGCAGAAGAGTCTTATCGATATCATGGCCAATCTTCCCAGTTCTGGCCAGGACAGTTTGGGAAGGCACTGGCAGTGTCGGAGTTCTGGCAGTCACGCAGTTTGTCCCCCAATGCTCCTTCCCACACACCTGTTCAGGGCGGTCCCGCTCTTGATCTCAACGTTTTGATGAAGTCCCTGCTTCTCGTTTACGAGGTCCCCGAGGGTCTTTTGAAATCCCTGAAGTCCCTGATTTTCTTGTCATTTCTGATCGTTTTTCTGATCTTGATCGGACCCCTTATCTTGTCCGAGGAAAAGAAGAAAAGCCAAGGTGACATAACTTGCCTTTTTGGGTTGATCGTGCTTTTCCATGGGCTGATGGGCACATTGCTCGCATCGATATTGATTACAAAGAATAGGAGAGCGTTTACTCCTTCCATCCACCTTCAAGCCTAGAGATATCTCTGCTACAGTAGTGCGAGCCAGGTAGGGTCTGGTGTTTCTCATCCTGGTTCATGTATCACTCATTTCCCCCCTCCGTTTCATACCCATATCGGGCATAATGGACATAATGGCATGGAGCTAGGTGGTATCGTTGCTGATTGTTTACCCGCGGTATGGAGTAATTGCTCCAGTCCTCGAGCGGGGAGGAGAAACTCAACCACAAAGATGTTGGGGAGAGTGTCCACTCTGCTTTATATTGAAGGACGTTGTTGATGACTGTGACGACGGCCTCACTTTGCATTCGGCATTGCATATCCGCGCTATCCATGAACCTACTGCCAATGATGTAGTAGTGATGATGACTGTGAGAATGTACGTGATCCACGCCGTCAATGGAGCAAAACAACATGTGGATAATACTTTGCTCACCTTATACACGCATCCCCGGATGGTTCACCCCCGGTGTGAGAAGGGATCGGATCGTGCACGCATAATTTTGCGGCGACACTGCAGAACATGATCATGCTTGATGATAGGATGGCCGCAGTAAACAGTGGGCTGAGTTCAAGTTGTACGACAGGCTGTGTGCGATTCCCAGAAAATGGCCAACTTCTCCTCACAACCATTGCTTCCCGGAGCTGACGCCAGCAGCATGACCCGACATTCTGGTGGCGCTTTTCTCCTTCTCAACCATGCACTCGCAAGGTTTTGGAGATCCGAATCTCTGGATTAGAACCATCATTGGCCGGGAAGCAAAGGGAGAGAAGAAGTTCACCACGTGCTGGTGGTACTGGGCAAGAAGGCATCCAGCCGTGCTGATTGGATAATTCCACTTCTCAGAGAAGTGAGACATGGAGGGGCAAGGCGCAAGCTGCCGTTGTTGAGCTTCCCAACTTTGCTCTGGCGTCTAAATCTGCTGTTATCTGCACGGATCCGACTCGATGCACCCATCATTGGAAGTCTTGCCAGGCGGGGGGCAGGATAGCGAGAAGATCGGGAAACCGACCAGTTACGCGGTGTTGTTTTTCCATTCACTCGGTAACTCCCATCTGTCCAAGCTGGAATATTCTTGTTTGTGTATGGATGTTTTTATGTGAGTCGAACGTCGCCTATGTTGGTTTCGAGATGGCTTGTCTGCGGTTTTTGGAGGTCTCCTCCTGCGAACTCGGCCGCGACAAGGCAGGCAGCGCGACGCCAAGAGAAGGAGGCGCCAGGGCAGGGAGGCCAGAATGTCTAGGGTTGCAGGCCGAGTGACAGGATTTCTGAGATTCGCAGATATGTACAGGTACATGGCCAACCGGTCAACCCCTCGCTTGGTCGCTTGGTCGCTTGGAAGCATTGTGGGATAGTGGGATGTTTCTGGCTTGTTCTGTCCAACGGGAACCTTGAACGAGGAACGGTCTTTGTTAGCCTGGTGCTTGTTTCTAGCGTAGGGCACACACACAGAAAGCCGAAAGGAAAAACAGCAAGGAGCAACGACAAACAGGGAAGAAGATATTAGCGCGTAGTGAATAGTGGACTGAGGCGGCTCAACTGGCGACGGATTTGCACTCGAGTCTCGAACGAATCGTCGATGAGAGTGGAATGGAAAAAGACACTGTTTCCATTTGCGAAATGCTGGATGCTGATCTGCCGTTGGTGTGGATTCTGAAATCCACCGCGAAGAGGAGACACTGCAGTGACAGCATTGAAAACAAAGTGGAATCCTGGATGGAGTTCGAGAAGTGAAAAGGGAAAACGGCACAGACAGTGTGTGATGGTACACAGTACGAGCGGATTCATGGATCCGTCTTGTCGTGGGTTCTTTGGAACGGAGGGCGCGGCATTGTGAAGACGGATGTTGACGAGGAGAGGAATGGAATTCAAGATGGAGACGCGCGCGGATGCAGCAGATTGTTGCAGTGACGCAGTGACCAAAATATTGAGCACGCCTTACGCGGGGTGGGCCCCCATTTTGACCCCCACTTTTAAAAAAGCTTCAGTTGACGGCGGGCAAGTGGAAGGCAGCTCGCCTGTAACCGCAACAAACCTCCACTGTGACAGGGCTTGTGTTAAGCACAAGGCTTGGGAACGGGCATAAGTCAGGGGACGGACGAGAAGGGAAGGCTGAAGGAAGGGACGGCGCGGTATAGACAAAAGGCTACACTACGGGCGGGAGCTAGGCAGAGACTCAAGCAAGTGAAGTCAAGCACGTAATTAAAAATGGTCTCGTGATGCCTTTTTGTGGTGTTTACCCGTGTTTCAACCCTAGCAAACCATGATTTGTGCCTGGTTCCTGGATTTAGGCCACTTTTCCACATTCCAGCATTCCATACAAATCCCAGGGAGGGCATATCCCGGCCGGTGATCGATGACGACTGCATCCCATTCCGGGTGGTTGGTTCAGCATATTTCCATCACAGACGAAGACGGTGAACGTTTGCACCGAGATTTGATAATTCAGGGACACGCCAGGGGATTTCAGATTTCGGGACCAACATGCTACTGCAACATCTCCCCATGGGGAAATCAAAGACAGCCGGCATTGACATGATGACCATGTTCCACGAGGCTGAGCGAGACGAATGTAGGTCGCACATTGGTGGCGCTGACCTGTCAAACTTATTGGTCCCGTCTCTTTGGTAACTCGAGGTCGGCGATGTGAGGCCCCGGAGGTCAATGTTTGATGCTAGACAAACATCCCGACAAATCGTATTCGCGCTGCAGTGTAGAGGTACCCTCCCAAAACGGTGAACACGGCGCACGGTGAGGGAATTCGACGTCCAGCCCAGAAGGTTGGGAATGCCACAGCAACCAAAAGTGAAAGTGCCGGGTTGACCGGAGATGATTATTTTGCATGAATGTCGGTCTCAAGCATGATCCCATGGGAACGGATGTCGCTGCCCTGCTGATGTGAACGCCAGTGAGGTGTGTGCTGCACAATGCACTCTGCACGTCCCCATTCACATCATCGTCGGCGACGAGACGAGAAACGTGCTCAAAATCCGGTCACGGTTGCCAAAAGTCTCACCTATGTGAAAACGAATGGCAGTTCCAAGAGGTTGGGATGACCTCAAAAATCTTGCATTGATGTCCAAACTAATGCGGTCTGCAATGCCAGATGAAGAGACATGATCTCCCTTGCTGCTTGGCGGTGACAAGTTAAAGTCACCGCACAGGTCAGCAACGAGGAGAGCCCCGCATTTCTGCAAAGGGAGAAGCCACGGTTAACCCTGACTCTTACCTGTGACGGCGCTGGCGGACTAGGTCTGGGCCTGGGTAGTCTCAGACCTCAAACCTGCTGGACCTCCGAAACGCGCCCGCCCGCCCCACCCCCCTACACCACCCACCAATCAGCGGACGGGTACACTTTTCTGCAGTAGTAGGTCTGAGCTAACTTTAAACGTTTTGGCCGTTAATCGAAGTTACAACTCTAATTAGAGCGAAGTCTACTAAATCGTAATATTTTATTCGTCTAATTTGATTTACTACTCGTTTTAGGAATCGCCCCTTCCAACTTTATTTAATAACTATCTAACGTTCGTATTTAATTCGCCTGATTTTATATCCAAATTCTCTATCCTTTTAAATTAGCCTACTTATACTAGTATATTTAATACTCCGTACTATTTTAAACCCTATAGTTTTTAATTTAACCCTTTACTTAATTCTATCTCCTCTATTAAATCCAACCCCTTACCTATTTCTATTTCCTCTATTAAATCCAACTAGTCCTAAAATTCCAAAATAAATTAAATTCGAATATTTACAATCTAAAGAGTGGCGTATGACAGGTCGAGTCGAAGTTCAGTGTCGGAGGCTTAACATCAAAGATATCGTCGATGTAGATAATCTGCCATCCGTTATAGCCGAGCTACATTCAAGGCTCTACTAATAAAGACCTCCTATTTTACCCAATATCTATAAATATCTACGTATTTAAACTTAATTACTAACTTAATAGCCTCTATAATTAATACTCTAATTATCTATTAATTATTATAATTAAGCGTAAGGATAAAATTAACTAACCTTACAATAAGACTAATAATTAGCGTTATTATAAAAATAGCCTCCTTTACTACGTTAATTACTACGAAGAATTCTACTTCTATCGTCGAAATAGCTATAATAACTTACTTAGTAGCGCCCTAATAAATTAAACTATTAAAGAATTTAATCGTAAAACTTTATAAACTCTTGTTTTTGTCTTTGCTTTTTGCCGCTGTTTCCTTCTCGTCATCATCTCCGAGAATTCTAAGTAAGTTCTACTTAGTACCTACGGTCTTGCAAATAATACGATTACTAAATTATAGTTTGGACTAGGGGGTTAGAAAGCTTGTTCCAGAGCGTTAACTTTATACCTTTTAGATAAGCAATAACGCTTCGATTGATCCTAGGTAGAATGCTTTTTAAATTAGAGAAAATGGTTACGACCGACGTTGGTAGTTAATGTTCGTAATTTAATCAGATCGCTGTTTCGAGACCTTGGGAAATTACGGTAAGTTCGATTTGGGTAATAAAAAAGGCTTTCTTAATCCTAAAATATAGGATAGTAAAATCTACTATTTAAGAAGGGGTATTGTAGATTTCCCCTTCATCTTTGAAAATATAGTTATTATCAATATCCTATTAGCAAACTCACCTCACTCACCGCATTTACCAGGATCGCAGCTTGGCCCATCGCTATTACATACACTTGTCAATACATCCCAGGAATCCCAAGCGCGGCACCAGGTCCCAGCACCCGCGTAGCGTATGTACAAGTGCAGTTCCTAGCGATGCCGGAGCCGGGGATAAGAAGGATATATACCGTATGCTTTAAATCTTTAAACCTATTAAAGAAGAAAGGGTAGAAGTATTTATAATAATTTCTACTTCGATGGATAAAAGTTTTATAAAGGAATTAATCCTAATTATAATATTAAATAAAGAGGGTTTAAAATTAAGGCCAATCGAACCGGAATGGTATAAACTAATAAACGCGCTTATAAAGGTTAATTGAAAGGACGAATTTTTAAAAGAATATTATATCTACGCTTACAAATTAAACTTTAACTTTATAATACTAATTAACAGATTTTTAATATATTAAGACCCCTTGATCGTCATCCAATTAAATAATTTACGTACGCATATTATAGAGGAAACTTACTCAATATTAAGTATAATCTATTTAAGAAGGACTAAAATTTAAACAATTTTTAAAATACAATATTAATAATTACGTATAATTAAAAATATCGATCGCTTCGTAAAGAATTATATAATATATAAAGCTAGTAAAATCCTAAAGGATAAAAAACTAGGTTTACTTTACCCAGTTCCCCCGCCAACTCGGAAATAAATATTTATTATTATAGACTTTAAGAAAATATTAAAAGATAAATACAATCTTAATAATATATTAATAATAATTAACTATCTATTAAAATTATCTTAAATTACCCCTTATACGGAAAATACTATGGCTCACAACACTATTCGAAGATATTATAAAAGACCTTACTATATTTACAATATACTAAAAAAATTTTTTTCGATAGAACGCTGTAATTTATATCCGCGTTTACAAATAAAATATTAAAACTAACGAAAACAAAGTAAAAACTAGCTACCGCAAAATATAATTAAATAATAAACTAAACGGAAATTATAAATACTTATATCAATTAACACTTCCAACTATTCGTTAATTATTATTAAAATAATTAATCCAAAACTATCCTAGCCCTAAACGCAGTATAAAGTAACCTTTCCCAAAATAATATAAACTTATCTCCCTATAAAATTATATTTAAATACCTAATAAAAATACCTTTCAATTAGGATACCCGTACTTAAAATCTTAATATACTATAAACAGGACAATTAACTCAAGAATAAATATAAAACTATACCTAATATATTCGAAAGTACATCGAATACGCTAGAAAAACTATATTAGAAA